GGAAGGACAGCTAGTGTGTGTTTCTTCCTCATGCAGTAAAAAAAATCCTGAAACCTAGTTATTTTCTCTCACCAGTTGTTGGAAGCCATTGCTTTTAATCAGTAACTAAGAGATTTTGTAGTTATTGTGTCAATCATTCTATTCTTCCTGTGAAGAATTGGAAAAGAGATTGAAGAACAGAAAGTCCTGGTAAGTAAAAGGATCATCTCTGTGTACCCTGTGGACTGGTACTATTGAACTTCTTTTCCCATTTTTTCCTCCACCCATAAAGCCAAAAGTTTTTGTTTTTCTGTGTCTATCTACATGTGTGTGTAGGGGCTTTAGAATGGAGGTTAGAGTCTTAACTAGTGGAACCAGATGTGAATACTTTATAATAAAAACAAGAACTGGAGATCTTGTGCTGGAGACCTGAAACATAAGCAGAAATAGATGCAGAAATACAGCAGATCTGGCAGCAGCTGTGGGGAGAAAGTAAAGTTAACATTAAATAAAGTTAATTCTGATAGAGTTCTGATGAAGAGTCACTGGATTTGAAATGTTAACTGTTTTCTCCCTGCAGATGCTATGAAATCTCCTGAGTTTCTCTAGCAATTTCTGTTTTTGCATTGACAGTTTAAAGCTGTTTATTTGTACTTACAGCATACTTATTATAATAAATAGGAGTTCCTGTTACGTACAGGAACCTGTTCAGTGTTTTCTATTAACTTGATTCTATCAAACAGGTCAATTTGGGACTTTATATACTTCAATTAAATTGTTAACTTACGTGGCAGCCCAGGAGTAATTGGGAATCAGTGCACTTTCCCAAGTAGGTTCTAATACTTTGAATAATCTACCAAAACATGTTTGAAATAACTTTCTTTCTTTGGTGCTGCTGTATTTTGTAGATGCTCTTTCTTTAGGTTCTACTGCTGCTAACTAATTAGTACTCATCAATATTTCTAAAGGCTGAACTTAAGATTGCACAACATTCGTGAGTTGCAATTCATGGTAAAGGTCCGTTTATTATACTGTGGGATTCTAATTTTGCCAATGTTCTACAAATTGTAAAACAAAACATTCTTGTGGTTACATATCTGAGATAATGATAATAGAATGAGTGTCATATTTTCAGTGGGAGATTGAATTTTCATGAGTAAACACCTTTGACAACTTTAGTCATCTTGTGAGAGAAGAGGATCAAGATTAGGAATTGTCAACACTGGGAAATCAAACAATTTCCACTTTTTGACATGAAATTATATATCAAACACTGTCTGCTACAGAATGTTGAATGGAAAGCATTTTACTCAGAATCTAGAAATAAGGGGCAAGGATTCAGTTGTGATGAGATTTACAAATCCATTGCAGCCATGTGGGTAAACACTCAGTGGGATAGGAAAGGGGACAGGGGACAGGGAGTTCAAGGCATCAGTGAGTTTACGCAGGTACCAGTATTTAACAAAGAAAATTAAGTATTCTTTATCTGAATATGTGAAGCATCACAATAAGACACAGAGTTGGATTTTCTGGGGCAAACATATTTCCAAACCCCCAACCAAAAAGTCCTGCCCACCCAAAATTCAACTGCCCTGAGGTATTATTATCCTGAGGAAGGTATAATTTATTTTGAATGAGAAATCTACTCCAAATTGGAAAATAGACTTACCCAGAGAGCTGCCAGTTAATATATACCTAGTAGCAGAGTAGGCCACTCAGCTCCTCAAATGCACACATTCCATCACAGTGCTCCTCCTGTTACCTCAGAAGAGGTGGAGGTCATCAAGCCAGATGACCAAAGAGCCAGATCTCTGTTGGGGGCTATGCATATCTTGACTGAAGTAAGGTTAAGATTGCCAGCGTTTTAATCACTGTTTGACCTCTTTTGTTGAGCTCATGGAGAGACGGGTCACGTGACAGCAATAGATTGTACAATGGATTGAAAGTTCCTGAAGATTTTTTTTTCATGCTGGGTCAACTTTCATGTGGGCAATATTCAATTATTTGGCAATGACAACAATAATGACAGGGAATACTCACAGGTTAAATTTCAGCTAATTATTCCATGGCTGTTTCAGACTTCATTTTGGACCACCTTCTATTTCTTGCAGCATCAAGATGGCAGCAAAAATGCATCTTTTATTGGTCCTAAAATGGGATGGATCCAACTCAACATCCAACTTCATTCCCACTGCCGTATTCACCTTTGTGCTAAGTATGAGGTGGTTGGCATGACTTTAGCCCTTACGCACCTGTCCACCATTAAAAATGATGGCAGAACTATTGGTTAGGAAGTAAGATTCTTGGGTAATGTACTGACTACTGATTTCACATCAATTATGGGGACTTCTGACGAAGTGGATGTACAGTTTATAATTTTCCAAAATTCCCTTAATTCTCAAACAATCCCAGTGGATTTCATGTTTGCAAATATAATTCCTCTAGCCAAGATGGAAAGAGAGCAAGTAGAAACAGGGAACTGTGGGCCAGTTGTTTTGACATCAGTTATTGGGAAAGTGGTGGAATCTATTATTAAGGAAGTCTCAACAAGGCAATAAGAAATTCATTGTTCAATCAGAGTTATCATAGTTTTGCAAGAGGAAATTTGTCTTTGACGAATTAATTAGAGTTTATTGACAATGTAAGTTGTATGGTAGGTAAAGAGAATATAGTTGTAGTATGCAACAAAAACAAAGTTGCTGGAAAAGCTCAGCAGGTCTGGTAGCGTCTGTGAAGGATAAAACAGAGTTAACTTTTCGGGTCCGGTGACCTTTCCTCAGTTCTGCATGCGTTTCTATAAAGATTGACACTGGGGCTTCAGCTATTAACTATGTCATGAATGACTTCATCAAAGAGACAGAAAGTAATGCATCTAAGTTGGTAGGGTATAAAACTATAGGGAAATGTAAGCAATGAGGAAGATACAAAAAGCCAGCAAAGAGATGTAAACAGGTAAGCATGTGGGGATAAGATAGCAGCTGGATTATAATGTGAGAAATGTAAGTTTTAAGATTTTCCACTTTTGTAATAACCGAAAAGCAGAATATTTAGAAAATTACTGAAACTTGGAAATTTTGATGTTCAATGGGTTTTATACTAGAAACACAGAACATTGGCATGCAGGGACAACAAGCAATTATGAATATGAATGGCATGTTGCCCTTTACTGCAATGAGGTTAGAATAAAAGAATAAACTAAGTCTAGTGAAAATTGGAAGGGATTTTGATGAGACCACATCTTAAATACAGTACATAGTTTTGATTTCCATATTTAAGGAAGGATATACTTGCATTGGAAGCAATGAGATCATTAACTTGTTTGCTGTGATTAATTAGTTGTCTTATAATGCTAGGCTGAGAGATTTAGGTCTATTCTGTCTGGAGTTCACATTTTGAAAGATGATCTCATTCCAACGAACACGTTTCTGAAAGGGTTTGGCAGGGTATACACAGAGATTGATTCTATTGGCTGAACAGTATAAAACTAGACAACACAATCTCAGAATTAAAGCCCAGTCATTTAAGACTGAAATGAGAAATGTCTTCACTCATAGGGTTGTGAATCTTTGGAATGCTTTGGAATCCCTAAAAGAAGACAGTATGTTCATGATGAATTCCAAACAAGACAACCGCAGTTTTAGTGAATCTTCAGAAGAAAAGGTGCTGTGGTGGTTTTGTTATTAGACCAGTGGTCCCAAGAGCTGTGTACTGAAATTCCATACTGACAAGTTGTGCAAATGAATTTGATAAATTTGGTATTCCATAGTTTGTTCTAGACCAAGAAAGTTAAAATAGAAATTGCTAGAACTTGGAAGGACAATGTGCCTATATGTTTGGATGTAACATTTCATCAGAACTATGTAAGTTGCTAAAGTCCAACTGGTTCACTCATGCACTTTAAGTAACACTAGGTCACATTATATAATGCTGTCTGAACTAGCCTAACCATCTATTCAGCCTTAAAAATAATTGTTGATTGGGAGAAATACCTATCCGTGTCTTCACAGGGAAGCTGGGAATGGGTGATAATTTAGCCTTGCAGTGTTGCAGCATTGCCCATATCCTGCGAGAAAAGTAAAGAATATATATTTCTAAATATTTTTTAAAAACAGCATTTGTCCAACATTGTGTAATCCAAATTTAGCTGTTCAGTTTCTTGACTTTGTTCACTATTATCTTCACTTATTGTTCATTGGAATAATTTGACTTGCACTTAATTATGTAGACCAGCACTGTCTTTAAAGTTGATATTCCCAATCATATATACTCATAGCCAGTAGTTATTGTGACCATAGCTGACTTAGCTGGAGTTTCCAAGCTTACATTTGTCTTGTTTAATATAAAAATATAGGCTACCTACAGCTCCTAGGAATTGCATTGGCAGATTTCTTTTTCAAAACATCATAGCCAATATGACTGATAGTGAACAAATTCAGCATTTCTGAGACCACCCTTAGAAATTTGAGACAGTTACAGAATGTTGAGAAGGAATGATCACCTAAACATGCTTGGATTCTGACTTGCTTCCCTAACCCCAAGGTGATATGATGTTCAAAGCAGTTTAGAATTTGTCCTTTGGTCATATGGGATTTGCATTAAATATCTTTCACATTTGGTGCAGATAGTGTTATCGTGTTTCAATTGGGGAAGCTTTTCTCCTTAGAAAGTCTTTGGAAAGCAATATTTGGATTGTTAATATTTTAAACGCATGATACCAAGTAGAATAACTAGCACTGTACCTGCCTTGACTTATAATGTAACCAATTTTGAAAAGGATATTACACAACATTAAATCTACCATCTTTTTAGCTCTTTGTATAATTCCTTGTCATTCAAATTTTGATTGCAATACAAACAAAGTGCAGAAATATGACAGTAGGAAGCTTTAATATTAATTCACTCAGTTATAAGCTGTAAATCCCATTCCGCAGACCTTCATAAAGTGCTCTCTATGTTCAGTTCTGTAACTCATATAAAATGAGCTTTGTTTGGCCACGGTTCAAATGCTGATTCTGTTTTAGGTTTCACCATGTGAGAAGTGCCGCTGTGAGCCCAATGGAGAAGTGCACTGTTCCGTAGCAGAATGTGCTCAGGTTGACTGTGTGGATCCAGTATATGAACCTGATCAGTGCTGCCCTATCTGCAAAGATGGTATGTGCTTGTTAAAAATAACCCATTTTGTTTCTTTCTTTTCTGAAATGCGTGACTGCTAATTTACACATCAAATGTTTTTTGTAAACCAGTTGTAAATGAGGAATATATTTCATAGTAGTTATTATTGTTATACAATACATTTTGTCATCTTGTGATAATATTACTAATTTACTATAATACAGGCTCTCTCACAGGTTTATTCATATTGTAGGACATCCATCTCTCAGATGATCCAATACTTATATCGCAGTGCAGAGAAGGAATATGTTAGCATGCCAACTATGACTATTTTACCAAGTCATTTTACATGGAAGTTTCACAGGAACTACCTATCATGCAGATATCCACTTCAATAGGCAGAAGAACATTCAGCTGTCAAGCTAAATTCAGGCTAAATTTATTGAAGGAAGCAAAGTACAGCTGTAGGAGAACAAGGTTAAATCTGTGCATCACTGATGCTGTGATTTTAAGGACAAGCTGAACTGCCCAGAATTTTAAAATCTGTTTTAAGCATCTTTAATCTGAAACTTTTAATGAGATCAATGTGGATTTACAATGTCCTTTCCTCAACAACAAGTTGTAAGAATGTGGTTGAGTTCCGTTAAGCTGAAGCAAAAGAAGAGCTATCAGCCATTTTTAAAAATACATTGTATTCACTTAACATCTTTCACAACCCTGCAATGCCTTAAAGCACTTTATAGCAAATAAAGTGTTTTCTTTTACAGAGTGTGTAGTGATTGGAACGAGGTCAGCTAGGTGGATTGACTGTTCACTCAAGGAGCCAGCTGTGTGCTAGTGGAGTCAGTGTCATGTACTTTGCAGGTGTAAATAAAGGATGACTTGGTGACAAGATACTGGTCTTTATGAAGTTATTTCAGTGGTGACAAGAGAAAAACATTCCCCTGAAGAGACTTGCTCGCAACAGTCATCTTTCGTTTGGAGTAAACATTTCTGGTGTCATGCTATTTGGGAAGTTTGACTCGTTCAATCCTGTATCAAAGACTGGACCCAGTATGTGAAAAGAATGCTTTGTTTCTTTCTTGGCAAATAACATTGGAGTGGACAAAAAGCAATGAGTATTTCTCCTGACTACATATGGACCCAGAGCTTTTTTGGATATTAGGAGCCTAACTTTCCCAGAGACACCAGATCTCAGAACCTTTCAAGAGTTGATGGATTTAGCTAAGGAGTATTATGACCCCAATTTTGGTGCTAAAACCATGGGAATGGCCCTGTCTGCGTAAGAGACATGGTCAACGCGAGGTCAGACCCCATGATGTATAAAGTTTGGGTAGGAGAGGCAGTCCTGAACAAGCACGTGGTTCACATAAAAGCTGCAACCTAGCAAACAGGGCAAAAACAAAACATACCTGGCCCTTCAGAACGTCTTGCAAGGCTGTTAGAACCTGTGGGTTCTTCCCCCCACCACCTAGCATCAAAGAAACCCCCTGAGGACAAGATGGACATGGCAGATGTCTCATCCTCAATGCCGTTACAGCCTGAAGAAGAAGATGAGTTTTGGCCAAGAAGCATTGGGTGCAAGAGGCGGGTTATGGTCTAGTACACGCTGCCAGTATCCGAGGCAGATTTGGAGGAACGAGAAACAGTGTGAAAATGCCCCAGGAGAAGCTACAGGAAAAAGAATGGGTCTATGTCCCAGGACTTAGAGGGGGAGGGATGTAGTGATTGGAATGAGGTCGGTTAGGTGTACCTCACAGAATATGAGTTCCCTAATTCTGGCTGTTAAGCTGGTCCAATCAGGGAGCCCTGGCTGACAGATATTAACAGGAGTGTCGGGATTCTGCTTAGTCTAGGAGTTGGCTCTAAGGGAGCTGGGTCAGTGTCAAATACTATGCACATGTCAAAAAAGAATGACTTGTTGACGGCATACTGGCCTTCGCTAAGTTATTTCAGAGTGTAGTCATTTTTGCAGTGTTCCGCAAATCTCTGAAATTTGATTAAAGTGGACTTTTTCCAGTTGATACGCTTTTATCCCAGTTCCTTCTCAGCCTGCACATAGTCAATATGATATACTTGTTCTTCCCTTGTGGATGGACAGCTGGATTTTGTTCTCTGGAAAGGATTTATTCAGTCAATGTTTAAACAAATCCTACTAAAATTTTGTAAGTAGTATGGATCCTCCTTTAATAGTGGTTGCAATCTGAGATAATTTATTCCAATCTACCCTTAGCTAGTATTATATTTTCACTTTGTTCATGGCTCCTAAGGCAAATAATACAGGAAATCCAAGCAGCTAAAGTTCTATCTTAAGCTATACATGGACCTAGTTAAACTTCAAATGATTAGAAGATACAGAAATATTTTATTTTATATTTAATATTTTATTCTTTTACAAATTCCATGTATTTCTCCATCAGAGCACAGTTTTAAAATTAATGAAGTGGTTGACCTGGGTTTTATTCTAATCTAATTCTTATTTTGTTTTGCCATCTGGAAGTATTAAATTGTTTAAAAATTCACCACTGCCTAAATCTCAGTAATAATACACAAACAATTGATTGGATTAACACTGAGGTTAAATTTGACATGACCACTTTGGATGTTATTTTAGGGATGCATCGTACCATTATTGAAGTAAGTTTAAAGGAAAACATTAATTGTCGTAGGTAGACTTGGCTGAAAGGAATGCTTATCACATCTCAGAAGTGTATTTGTAAGCACCTACAAAGTAAACATGCTGTTTGGACTGGACTATCACATTTTTCAGCAGCAGTAACATGGATTAAGTATAGATGAAAGATAAGCAGGTAACCGAAACAGTTCTATTAGGGAATTCACTGTTGATTTGCAAATTTGGAGGGTTGAAAAATTGGCTTGTTTTTCCTATTTGTTTCTTTGTACCTACTCTTCCACAATGGTGGCCAGCCTGCATAAGTTAGCTAACCTTGTTGACCTGACAGTTGAGAGAAGCATTCATTGTCTTTTCTTTTGGTAATAGCCCGCAGATTTCTGAATTTATTGAATTCAGTTTTCCAACTTGCTTTAGTGGGACGTGGACCAACAACTTACACTTTTTCAGTCCAATACATTAAACATTGATATAACAAAGTTAACTGTACAACCTGTTCCATGTACTGGCTTTAATGGATTCAGCTTCAAGCCCCTAATTAGAAAGCAATGATGTCAGAGATCACATACTGTGGCTAGTCACAGTGCCACTAATGTACAAATGCATTTCTCCAAATACCCTTTTTTAATTCCTCCCCTTCTTACACATCTATTCAGATTTCCTTTGTGCAGCTTCACAGGTATCTATCCAAATACAGTCAGCAGATTTTGCCACGCCTGGGCCAGTTTTATCCAAAAATGGCACTTGAGATTGGAGGGTTTCGAGCTCCATGTTAGAAAAGCCTATTTCTCAATCCCTTAACCCTGGCAACAATAACAGGGCTGAAATCAAAGTGACAGTAAATCACTAACAGCCATGTTCATCACATTTCCACCAAACAGAAGGGTTCAATACTTAACTACATAGTGTATTGTTTGCTTGTTGTCAGCTTATACCTTGATCTTATTTTCTTACCTGATGCTGTGAGCCATATCAATGTGCTATCCCATAGATTGGGGCCGGTCAAGGACAGTAGTGGGAAGTTGTGCGTGGAGTCCGAAGAGATAGGAGAGGTGCTAAATGAATATTTTTCGTCAGTATTCACACAGGAAAAAGACAATGTAGTCGAGGAGAATACTGAGATACAGTCTATTAGACTAGACGGGATTGAGGTTCATAAGGAGGAGGTGTTAGCAATTCTGGAAGGTGTGAAAATAGATAAGTCCCCTGGGCCGGATGGGATTTATCCTAGGATTCTCTGGGAAGCTAGAGAGGAGATTGCAGAGCCTTTGGCTTTGATCTTTATGTCGTCATTGTCTTCAGGAATAGTGCCAGAAGACTGGAGATGAGCAAATGTTGTTCCCTTGTTCAAGAAGGGGAGTAGAGACAACCCTGGTAATTATAGACCAGTGAGCCTTACTTCGGTTGTGGGTAAAATGTTGGAAAGGATTATAAGAGATAGGATTTATAATCATCTAGAAAGGAATAATTTGATTAGGGATAGTCAACACGGTTTTGTGAAGGGTAGGTCGTGCCTCACAAACCTTATTGAGCTCTTTGAGAAGGTGACCAAACAGGTGGATGAGGGTAGAGCAGTTGATGTGGTGTATTTCGATTTCAGTAAAGCGTTTGATAAGGTTCCCCATGGTAGGCTATTGCAGAAAATTCAGAGGCATGGGATTGAGGGTGATTTAGCGGTTTGGATCGGAAATTGGCTAGCTGTAAGAAGACAGAGGGTGGTGGTTGATGGGAAATGTTCATCCTGGAGTTCAGTTACTAGTGGTGTACCTCAAGGATCTGTTTTGGGGCCACTGCTGTTTGTCATTTTTATAAATGACCTGGATGAGGGCGTAGAAGGATGGGTTAGTAAATTTGCGGATGACACCAAAGTTGGTGGAGTTGCGGATAGTGCGGAAGGATGTTGCAGGTTACAGAGGGACATAGATAAGCTGCAGAGCTGGGCTGAGAGGTGGCAAATGGAGTTTCATGCGGAAAAGTGTGAGGTGATTCACTTTGGAAGGAGTAACAGGAATACAGAGTACTGGGCTAATGGTAAGATTCTTGGTAGTGTGGATGAGCAGAAAGATCTCGGTGTCCATGTGCATAGATCACTGAAAGTTGCCACCCAGGTTGATAGCATTGTTAAAAAGGTGTACAATATGTTAGGTTTTATTGGTAGAGGGATTGAGTTTCGGAGCCATGAGGTCATGTTGCAGCTGTACAAAACTCTGGTGTGGCCGCACTTGGAGTATTGCGTACAGTTCTGGTCACCGCATTATAGGAAGGATGTGGAAGCATTGGAAAGGATGCAGAGGAGATTTACCAGGATGTTGCCTGGTATGGAGGGAAGGTCTTATGAGGAAAGGCTGAGGGACTTGAGGCTGTTTTCGTTAGAGAGAAGAAGGTTAAGAGGTGACTTGATAGAGAC